AGTAAGAGGGGGGAGATCGGGAGGAGACCCTGCTAAGAAGGCTGGCTCGGGTACAGACCTCCAGCCAATGGCTGTCTTTACAGCAGGGGGACCTGCTGCGTCTCTCTTAGGAAGGTAACACGGAGAGCAGTGTGGGGCTGACGTCATCGGAGGGGTGTAACCGGTGGCAAAGGCACACGTGGGGTGGCGGCAGTCGTCTTGCAGTGACAAGGGGGGTGAGGAGCCAGGTCAGGGGTGGTGACTGGGGTGGCGCTGACAGCTCTGGCTGACCGGTTGGATCGTGTGTGTGCGACAGAAATCAAGGACGGGTGGACGGCTCTGGCCACGCCATTAACTAAGATAGGAAACTTCACAGACGTGGGCCTGGTGGGGGAATGACAAAGGGTAATGAACTCAGTTGGGGGCAGGTTGAATAAATCGTGCCAGGGACATGTGGGCGGCTGATGAGAGAGGTCTGGCCTTCAGACAAGTTTCAGGCTGGAGACGCTGATCTGGAAGGTGACAGGGACAGTGGGCGCCTGCTCTAGACATAGGCGAGGTTACCCCGATGGACCGGGGAGCAGAATTCTTGGGACATATCATGCTTCGCGACACTCAATCCTCAAAATCAGAGCGGACGGCACGTTGCCCGAGGGTTTATCGAGGCTCCAAACTGCGTGCGTAGTGTTTTGTTTTCCACGTGTGTGCCTGATGAATTTTCACACCAAGTTTTTTGATGGGTTTGCTTGTGCTGACTGGAAATGCAATGGTGTGTGGCAACCATGAGGCTCTGGAACTGGACCGACCTGGGTCCCTGTCCCCGCCCCGACTGTTTCCTACTTGGTAGGAGTGGAAGAATCACATGTAATGCTCACAGAGTAGTCAGACCTGCAGTGCAATGTACATCTGGTTGGTGATACAAGAGCTTGTAACCTCAGCCCGGCAGTGTATTATACAAGCTAAACCAAGGCCTTTTCTTGGTAAAGATACATCATTTATAAAATTTATACTCTTTGGGTCCCGACTAGCGTATTTTAAACTGAAAATGTGTGTTGGTTAATGCTGGCCCTGGCTCTCGCTTTCCAATTAATAGAAAGTGGACTAGAAAGTTCCAGATGACAGGGCACATTTGTTTTTCTTCCCACCCTGACTTTTCAAAAAAAAAAAAGCCTGGTATGTGGATAACCAACTAGACAAGCTCAACTCTCGAAAACGCACGATCGTGTTCACAGTCACATAACTCAGAGACGGTGGAACAAATCCAAGTAACAATTTTATTCTAGCCTACAGCACAAGTTCTTACATACATTTTAGTGGTTTTGACAATGTTACATGTGAGCAGACTTTAAATGAATCCACAAAAGTTAATATATTAAAAATAAAACATACACAGTAAAACAACAGGCATCCAGATGTTGGGAGTCATGCGGGTCGAGGTGGCCTGGGTGGTGTGAGGACTGGGAACCTCGCCTGTTTAAGATTCACCGGTAAGCATCAGTTCTTCTATTCTCACCCCCATATAATTCACCCAAACCAGAGACTTCTAGACACACACACACTCAAAATAAACCTTCTTTTCAAGCCATCAGTACAAAAATTCAATGAACTAGTCTAAATATATCATCAACCGACAATTCCATTGATCAAACCCATTTCTAGAAAATAGTTGCCATCAGCACCTGATCTAAAGGCGAGGTGGTCTCATTCATTAAACACCAACAGATTAATCAACAGAGCAGCTAATATGTTAATCTTAATATAAGACACTGAGGGAAAACCAAAGGTAATATATTAAATACCACTCCACTAAGCCAGGATAGAACCCGTGAGCTACAGATACATGAGTTTTTATCTGTCAAACAACACTTTAAATATTTTTCTATCTAAAAGAAAAAAAAAAAAAGTGTATCAGGAGATACAGAAGAAAGGTAGAAATGTGAATTTATGCATCTAATTCCACAGTTTAAAAATGAGTATGAAGCTGATCATACGGAGCTAAGTGACAATGACTCGACCGCCAGGCACCAAGGAGGCAACACCACTCGCGGTAATTCCGGACGCCTCCAGGAGCTTCAGCAGATAGGTGGCCCGCCCAATGACATGAGAACAGCCTGAGCGCTCGTCCACTGCTGGAAAAGACCCTGGAGAAAGCACGGCAAAGGCGCAGAGAAAAAGTGGAACCTTTTGAAAAAGTTAATGATATCAAAATACTTCTCCATCGTTAGGAAACAAAACTAGGTCAAGTACGCGGCCGAAGCAGCACGGAATTCGGAGTCAGGGCTTGGCAGAAAAAGTCTGGAAAACCGCGGTTTTTAAAAGTTGGCAATGTCTCCATGCCTCGTAAAACCACCGGAAGAGGTATCACGTTTGTTCGTCTGTGGAATGTTCGACAGGTTGCTGCAAAAATTCACATGGACGAGGAACCGCGGGAAGGTTTTTAAAAATTTACAAAAAACTGAAGTCACTGTTTAAAAAATAACCATGTCGTGCCAAGATGAAACATGGTGAAAGTAGTGTCAGTTCTGCCCATGATTCTTTACGCAGCTGATGGGAAAGTGATAGAAACAATTTTCTCTTAAAAAGGAAGCTTCGCTGTTGCACTGACATTGACAACCTGACCTAGTGATTTAGAAAAAAACCACATAGTAAAGTCTGAAAAATTAAAATACAAAATCCTGGGTTGTAAACATCAGTTGGCCGAGTCTATCCAGAGTCCTGCACGATAGTGGAATGGAATGAAGAGTTAATTCACTACCTTATTTATTGGTTCTGGAACATTCCAGAACACAGCATTTATACTTTCACAGTAATTATAGTCAAACTATATTAAGAAAGTCAGTGCAGTGATCTTTTTTTCCCCCTCCTTCTGTGCAATATTCAGCTTTTACGCCCCCCCCCCC